ACTACAAACCAAATGAAATCAAAAATTACATGATCGGCATGTGTTGTGCCAAGGAAGGTAATAAGAACTGTTGGAGTTTAGAACCGTCGGATTTTTTTTTAAGAAGCGCTTCACATCAATTATTACATTGTTACTTTTAATTATTCAATAAATCTTCTTCTGTAATTTCAATTGGAACTTTTATGATACCCAAACTTTCAATGTGATCAAATGGGATTTTATCTTGCCCGCTGTGCTTTAACAACAAAGACTTTCCCAGTAAAAAAGCATTAGCGTCATTCTTATTGCTAAAAAACTCCTTAATTATGTAGTTTCCAAAAGGTTTAACATATAAAATTCCGGCACATGTCTTTGGTATTGAGTTGGTTTGTATTAGATCTAATTTAGTATTGATCTAATGAGGATAATAAAATGGGGTACTCGTTTTTTCTATCTTCACTGTAAATATGATTATAGTCCTTAAATAACCCTCTTCTGGTAGAAATAAAATTTGCAGAGAGTTTTTGAGGAGGAAAATTTTCAATATCCTCAGATTTGCGTTTTCTTCATTCATTGAAAAAATAAATTAATTGAAAGATTAATAACAGAAAAGGGCCGCTTGGCACAGAGCTTAATAATTATTCTAAATTTACTGAAAAATTTCAAATATTCGCGCCCACTTCCCAGTCTTTTTTTACACTCGTGACAGACTTAGCACCACAGATTTTAAGATTATGTCGCCATCATAAGTCACCATTTAAACTATACCATAGATTACCGTATTATTTAAAGAAAGTCATATTTATGTAAATTTATATCGACTATCGAATATCGATCAAAAGCAACCAAGTAGGTACGGGCCGAGAACAGGATAAGGAACAGGATATGTACCAAAAGGAATTATTATGCGGATTGAATTTGTTTTTTTTTATATGTTTGGTGCTTTATGAATGCGTCCGTTCGTACTGTTTAAATCAGTTCTTTGTCGTATGACTTATGAATGAAGATATCACTGTTTATTGAATTGCGTAACTACGTGGTTATAGCTTTAAACGTGTTGAGATGATTAAGTTATCAGTTATTTGTCAATAAAAGTAGAAGTAGGTTGACTAAAGTGTTTATTTTTATAAAGTAACCTACAAAATCTATACCTAATTTATAATTAACTTATTCTTGTCACGTATAACCAAGTTTAATATAGTAATATGAGTAAACCTGATGCCATTATAAGATCTAGCGATAATTATTATAGAACGAAATATGAATACACCTTTGTTGAAAATAACGAAAATGGTAAGTACGCAGAAAGTATTTATTAGGTTATTTTGTAGCTCTTTTAATAAATAGTTTTAGTCTTGGATTAATTTGTATGTTAACCAATGTCAAAATAGAGGGTTGATATGTTATAAGAGTAAAGTACTGCCAACGAGAAACGATACCAAATGTAAACAAAACCAATGCAATGTCATAAGGAAATGCAGGGGTGCGTAACTTTTTGAAAACTCTGTATTTTATTAGCAGACAATAATATTTTAAATAATATCTGGCATTGAGTTACTTTATGTAATTGTTATTCTAAAAATCAATAACAATAAAAATATAATGTTAACTTACAGCTTAGGTCCTGCTTTTTTTTTATTAATTATAGTTTGAATTATTTATTAATGTAGATTTCAATAATGAGATTAAATGTCGAGAATAACAATAATGTTTATGGTAGTGAGGACAAAAATTTTAAGGAGTTTATTCAGTCAGACGCTGATTCTTCTGAATCCGTAGAGTCAGAATCAGAGTCTGTAACACGTATAATAAATTTGTCCGTAACGCCATCTACAATATAATCAAGTTTAAAAAACTTTTCTTCTTTTCGAACATACTCCACACATTTTTTTCCACCGATCAGGCGTGACTTTCGCCATACTCTCACTTAATAATACCTTAACTTTTTCAAATTGAAACGTAGTATTGTTTCTAGCTACGTGCCCCTTTATATCAGCCCAAATCAGTTCAATGGCGTTTAATTCACAATGATAAGGAGGTAGTCTAAGTATTTCGACGCCGTATTATTTGCCAATTCGTCTACGACATACAATTGATATTGGTTCTTCACCATTTTAACTTTATTTAGTAAATGTATTTTTATTTCCTTTTCGTCGAAAGTAATATTTTTCTCACGAAGCCAGTGCTGAATGTTAACCTTCAACCATGTTGAGCTGGGTGTTTTTTCCTGTCGCCTTGAGTGATAAGGCGCATTATCCATGACGACAACTATGCACTTGGGCAACATCTTTTTCATGATTCATGATAGTCACCGGTGCCCTTGGATTCAAATATCCAGCTACCGTTTTCCACAAAACCATCCTCGTTTCCAATGTGGACTACGATTAGTCGTCGGCCCTTTGAAGTAGGATTCTTTGCACCTGTACTAAGACCTTTTAAAAAAGCTTGTCGTTTTGATATGGCATCGGTGTCAACCCAGGTTTTATTAACAATGGGACCTGTAGGTTACAATAAAATATAGACAATACTAAAAATAATGATCCTAAAACATATTTCAGGTGGCGATAAGGAACATAAAAAGCTAAAAATTTAGAAAAATAACTAAACATCGTGATTGATATTACTTATGAAGTTTTGACCAAGACTTGCAAAAGTATCTTCCTAGTCGTCTTCTAAATGAGCAAAATTTCTTCTATATTGCTAAAATATGGCCAATACGTAATTATCTTTTAGAGCTGGCAAAAAGAGATTCTAAGCCCGGCCTGCACGCGTAGCATGACAAACTCGAGAACGTATTGTCTACACTCAAATGTCACTTTTCTCGGGTCCGCTCATACAACATCTCTTCTTTTTTAATTAATCATTCATCAATTTTTAATTACTCATCTACGCATTTCGCACAATTCTGCCAATGTCAAGTAACTAATTAAATTCATCATGTAAAATGAAATGAATGAAAGATGGCGACACAACTTTCGACACGAGAGTGACATTTGGGTGTAGACAAAGCGTTTCTCAAGTTTGTCATGCAACACGTGCTAGAACTGGAAAGAAATAGTACTAGTATAAATTAATTTTCACCACAATATACTGAAAAAATAAATGAATACTAATTAAAGACATAAATGCTCAGAGTACTAGTATTAATAAAAAAATGTCATCAAATAACCATATCAATGCACAGCGGTAAGAAAAAAATATCACCAAAAAAGTATTTTGATATTGACAAAATTACGGCAAAATAATAATGTTTATATGAAATTTTATATATTTTACAAAAACCAAAATAATTACCTTCCATCCATACCAAAAACCTCCAAAAAACATTAATTTCACATATTAATTTACAGACAAAATACAGACAGCTGTAAACCATACTTTTATAAATATCGAATTCTTACATTACCCTACATATATATATATATATATATATATATTAGAAATATGTAAGTTCGTACGAAAATACCCGGAATTTTATAAAAAACGTGAAGAAACAACTACTTATAATTTACGTAATCGGAATAAACTAACCAGAGCCACCTTCCGCTTTAAATTACAGTCTAGTTTCCCACTGGCAATGTCAATAAAAATATACAATAATCTACCAAACTAAATAAAAAACTTAAATAAAGAAAGATGACATAAAAACAAATAAAGAATTTATTAACTAAAAAGAATTATTATACCATACAAGAATACCATACCTACCATACCTAAGTGTACTTCAAATACAATCTAATTAAAATATAATATCCTACTTCTGTATTTTAATTGTAATAACTACTTAATTTAAATATTTGCTAAATGTAAGTTTTCAAAACATAAATTATTAAATTTTTAAAAGAAAGGAAATACTTATTACCAATATTTTAAAGCAGTGTCCTCCCCTCTCTCCAAATTGCTGTGCCCGACGGGGTCCATAAAGATACTTTTGTTTTTTATTAGTCATATACATCCTAATACTACATTGTGGAATGCAATAAATAAATATTCAGAGACTAACATGTATACATACGGCGTGAAATTCTAGTATTAGCTCAATGGGTTATAAGATCAAGTCACTCGCTACTTTAAACTTGGGCCGTACCCCAGGGGAATAGTTTTACTATATAATTTTTGAGTGAAATTTGAAATGTAGGTACTATATTTCGTTAGAGAAATGTTGGCAAGAAGTTGGCAGGCCTATCTAGTGGTGATTGATCATTTTCGTGCTGTCAAAGGTCAATTGCACGTCAGGCTATACAAAACTATCAAATTTTCCCAGCTGATTTTAAACCTTAATGTGTTGATGATGGTAGATGTGAAAATCTATTAAAATAATTTGAAATATTGTGGTAACCTGACGTGCAGCTGTGTGAACCTACTAGATTAAAACCATAGACCACAAATATTATCTATGATGAAAACTCATGGAGTCCAATTAGTTTTCAAAACTCAATAAACAACTAATATTCTATTTGTACTTTTTCGTATTTGTATTAATATTTAAGTTTCTAACTTTTCAAATTTCAGTTTTTACATGTTACTTAAAAGGAACGGACGAAATGACTGTCTTTGGTGCATTCCTCCACTAAATGGCGACTCTAGCAAAAATCAACATTTGCTAGAGTTGCCATTTAGTGGAGGTGCTTTTTAGTGCTTTCTTTTTTTTAAATACTTCCTCATTATGATTTATAATACCCAATAAAACAAACCGCACTTTTCTATTTTCTATGCATACATCACAAGTCTCATTTACGATTGTGTCATTTAACTGTTTAGTTATATTTGATCAAGTAAATATCTATACATGATGCACCACCGACCGAAATTGTGTTTCAGATGGAGGTAAAATGCGAGGAAGTCGGAGAGTATTAACGTTTTGTCTGCTAACTACTGTTTTGCCAACAATACTTATTATTTTGCCTTTATATTTAAGAAACATTAAGTATGCTGATGTTCTTTATAGAATTTCAGACTCAGATGTAATTCAAATACACAAAGGCCAATCGTCAATATTTTGCGAAAAACATTCTTTGAAAATGGATTCCAGCTTTAATGCATTCCAGATGAAAGGTAGACCTGAATTGTCCAATAATAGAAAACATATAAGATTGAGAAAATCAATGACTTTACCAGATGATACATTAGAATATTGGGGTTTCTATTTATTTAAAGGTGCAAGTGTGGAATTGAAGGCCTGTTCTAGGTATGAAGGTTCTAAAATATTAGTGGTAAAAGGAGGAAAAATTCTTGACACCTGTGGAATATTAAATAGCAACAACTATAAAAAATCTAATAATTTAATAGAAAACAAACATCTTTCAGTGACATTAGAAAATCCAGTTGAGAAAGATACCAATGAGTCTGTAATTATTGGTAATAAAGAAGATAATACTGAAAAAGATGTCAGTAGTGGCAAGGAATTTATTGGAGATGAAATATTAAATAACACAAAAGAGCAAAACTCTATAAATATGAATAAGCCAATTGATAATGAAGTAAAAAATAAAATAAAGAGACACATTAAAAGAACATCTATTCATAATCCAAATACAGTGTTGGATACTGGTGTCAATCATGGTGGAAATGCATATAACAAAGCTGAAAATATGCCCGAAGATAGTGCAGTATCTAATTTTGAAAACAGTTTACATGAATGCTATCATGATAATATGTTAATGCATAACTATTTTCCATACTCCATGCTTTGTAATAGTACCAATTATTTAGAAAAAACAACTACACTTAAAGTCACTCATGAGGTTTTAGAAGATGGATATTATTACTATATTTTTTATAGTGACAATGACATTGTTATGAATGATATTCATGCAATTTTTGATATTTACAAACCAACATTTCAGTATGTAAATATGTCTCCATCAAAAGTATGCATTAATAAAACAGAGTGTGAATTTAATGTAAGATTATTCAGTGATGAATTGGTTATAGTAGAAGTGCCAACAAAAGATGGTTTAAAAAATGAACATGATTCCTCTCTCTTAGTATCTATTTGTCAGCCTAGAATGTCTGTTTACATAATCTTTCCTATTTCAGTACTGCTAATAATACTTTCTTTTGCATTTTTATGATATGACATTCCATTTTTCCATAAAAGTACACTTTATCAGAGATGTGATATTATTTTATCAAAACATATAAGCATTACACTTGTTCTTAATTAGTTGTTATACAAGGTTAATTCGTTATATGCAATTTTTATACTTATTTATACATTATATGGATATAATTATAATAAGTGTATGTTATTGTTACTGGTGGTTTGCTTCAGTTGGGTCATTATAGCTTATTTCCTTTAAGTCGCCATCCTCTCCTTCAAAAATATCATTGGAATACAACCTCGCTGAAGGTCTTAGTCGGCCGAACCGAAATAGTGGAAGATCTCTTTTCCTGTTTAAATTTAATAAAGCATCAATTAGGAACATCCCTTTCATTGCGCAAACCTTAAATGCTAGAGTTTTACAGTGCATCACATAATTTAATGTAAATATTGAAAAGAACAGGGTCTACGTTGATTCCTTGTGGAACATGAAGAAATAGCATAAAGACGTTTATTTTTTTAATATAACTAAAATATAATGTCTATCGGTTCCAATTCTGTTTTACCACTAAATTAAAAAAGTTCCAATTTCAGTTTGAATCTATTTAACCTTATTTCGTATTCACGTTTAATTATCAAGGAATATAATCTTACTAACTTTCGTTGTCTCTAATAGTAAAGTTATAGTCAACGTAGGCTTACTTCAATCTTCGACTTTGATCTATAATTATTTCTCTTCTTTCTCTTTTCGTAAGTAAACATTCGATTGGCGAATTCAGAGCGTTAAAATACCTATGTAATTTATTGTACTTCCTAAAGTGGCGTATATCGTCACAAAAATAGAAGACAAGAATATTAGATTGGATCATTAATGAAGAACCTATTAAGGTCGAAAATGAGACGCCCGCGAGCGCGAAGGCGGACAACCGCCACAGCGCTCGCCCGCAGAGGCCTTGGTTAGAGCGTTAAAATACTTTGAGGTCTGGGTCATTATGGGAATCTCTATGGTATTGAAAAGCCGTCTAGTCTCATAACAAACCGCTACGAAATAGGGAAAATTAGTCAAGTTTCGGAGGAAAACGATGGTCTGTGGCGCTGCGAGGCTGATATTGTCTGACAGCGCCACAGCTAGAATAGACAAGTTGACTATTTCTTTTTTAATTTTATAATTCTAAAAAACTTTTCGATTTTAAAATGAATTCTTGATCCGTCTAGTCCCTTATATAGTCAGTTACGAATAGATTTGTACCGATTAATACGTAGCGATATCTAATTCATCGCACTGACATCGCCACAACAATCGATAGCGAGAAGACTAGCATCATCACAGCAATCGATTGCAAGACGAACTGCATAAAGTTTCAACACTGAGTAACGAGATGGCGCTGTACCAATACAAACAATATAAATTAATAACTTCAAGGCATTAAGAACAAAGAAACCTACATCGCCCACAATAAGTTTCATTACCAATTAGAATAAGTAGAACGTCCAACCTACATCGGTTGGACCGAGGTCCCCGAGCTAAACAACACCTAGCTTGGAGGGAGACAATTATCCTTTAGTCCCTCTTGTCCAGTTGTCCCATCATCACTGTAGGACCCAACCTTCAACCTTACAGTTCCTACAATATAAATAACGGTTTCGAAAATAAACGAGTTTTTGTGGCGCTGCAGAGCTGACGTCAGCCTGACTGTTATTTCTAAACTATAGAACTTTAGAAACTCATTTTGGTAAAATGTATAGTCATTTTAGCACGAATTCATAAACCATTAAAACTTGATATCCTGCGAGTATTGACCACTCAAGGATACAAAGTGAATTAAATTAAACAAATAATCTCGACAACCACAAATCATGTTACCTTTTAGATGTCTGATTATTTAAATCGAATATTATAGATACTGTTATGATCTTAAATAAATACTGTTATGTTATTCAATAACTTGGTCTATGCGTAGAATCTGATTAATAATGGATCATAGTCAACTATGTATGTAACTCTAGCCGAAAGAGTATTTGGTAAATTGATTTTTTACCAGATTTTGCTAGAGTTGCCACCTAGTGGAGGTGCTTTTTAGTGCTTTCTTTTTTTTCTTAAATACTTCCTCATTATAAGTGAATCTTTAGACTTCTGCTAGTATTAACCATTAATTCTATTAGCAGATAGGTTTGCTTTTCTGATGGTAAAATCATAGCACACTAATAAACAGGTAACGGTATTTTGCGTGACAAAAATAATAGACTATAATATTCAATTGAAGTCGTCAGAGCGATAAAATACTTGATGGTTACTGGTACCCTACAGTGGTGAATACTCTCAGATAACAAGTTTTAATGTTATATGAACTCATGAGGTTCTCTCTAAATGTTATAAAAAACTGACTTTTCCTGTACAATGATGTCTTTTGAAATTAACACATTTTATTATAAAATCTTTCATGTATTATCCGACAAATATCAGCTACTACCAACACACACACACACACACACAAACACACACACACACACACACAAACACACACACACACACACACACACACACACACACACACACACACACACACACACACACACACACGCGCGCGCGCGCACATGCACATGCACACACACGTACGCAGTAACATCGCCACAACAATCGATGAATAACGAACACACAGACGAACTGCAAGGGCATTTAACAGTACAGTAACGAGATGGCGCTGTACACCTTTAATTAAGATACTACAAGTCATTTAGAACAAAGGAAACTTACATAGCCCACAATGAATTTTATTACCAATTCGCATAAATACAATGTCCAACCTGTGGATCCAGCTGTGTCGCTTCCCGGAACTACCAGGCGGCGAACCTACCCCTTGAGCGTTATCCGATACGCGGTCCAAGCCTATTCAGTCCCAACAGCCATCGGTTCTTCTAGCTATAGGTCCCACTCTCACTTCATTTGAACAATTCTCAGTGAAATGTCAGTTACGTTGGTTTTCCTATGGATCTCTTCATTACTAATATGAACACATAGAGAAACATTAAGAATTACATTGTGACCTTTTTTCTTATGACACCCATAGTGAACGGCCACGTTTCGCTTGCATAAGTCATCCTGGGAACACATACTGATTAAAGACTGGTCTTGAGACACTGAGGTAATTTGGATGCGAAGATTTTCCGTAGCTTCCCGAACGCTGGCTATAGCCCCAAGCTTGAAAATATCCTCTAATGCAGCGGTGAAGTTTTGGAGAGATAACGTCTCCTTATCTCACACCTTCACCACCAATCGAATAGGATTTGATTGTTTCTGTAGTCGGACGGACATAGTGATATTCTTGTATAGGTAGGTATAGTAGGCAAACTAGGCTACTTCCTAGGGCGCTCTAACTTAGGTGGCGGCAAGGCATGGCAAACAGATTGTTTGTTCTAATTATTTAAACTTAAATGCAGTACCTTAAAAAATACTTCTGTTTAAACATGAGTCCATGTCCGGGTATTAAAAGTACGAAATTTTCAGACCAAGGAGTTTCTTTTGCCAGTGGCAAATTTATACTTTTGGCTACACAAATGGTGTACTACAGCGTCGTTACAATGTTTTGCCTAGGACGCAAAGTTCCAGTGTTTTGCCTAAGGCGCCAAGTTTCGTTGAGCGGGTGATTTATACCCGTACTTCACTTAACATGTTAAGAGAGATTGCAGAACCGCCTGCCCTTTAGTTCACAAACACTAAAGAGAATGGCAAATTATCCTCTTCGCTCTTCTGTATAAATTGCCTCAGCGTATGAATATGGTCGACAGTACTATAGCCTCTTCGTAAACCAGCTTGTTCAGGAGGTTGGAATTCGTCTAGCCTACGAGCGAGACGGATCGTGATGTCTCTCAAAACAACTCGGAAGCTAGATCGGCTTATAATTCCTCAGTAGTATCTTATTCAAAAACAGTACAACCCCACTCCTGTTCCATGCTATCGGCGTTCTGCCCTCCTGAATAATAATGAAATAAGGTTTAGAGGACTTTGATTACTGGCTTATCGATCGCTATTTTTTAGTTATTTAAGAGCCATTCTAATCTCATAGAATGACGTCCGGGCAGTGGCGTAGCTAGGAACCTAGGGCTCTGGGGCAAATAAAAAAATGGGACCCACTGCTATCAAAACTGGTAAAGTTTTTTGAAGTAAAATCATTACATACATTTGTATATTTAATGATGAAAAAACCTTGCTAAGGAAAAAAAGAGCTGATGATAAAGTTGCTTAGCATTTTTAAAGTATTTACTTCAAAAATGCTAAGCAACTTTATCATCAGCTCTTTTTCGTGCATGGGCAATTAATAAAACTATTAAACACTAACAACATAAATTACAATTATTTTTATACTTGGTGTAGGTATCGGGCAATAAAACGAAATACAAAAGATTCAAGGGTTTATTATATATTTATTCATAGATACGTTGCACCAGCTCACTGTTATTTAACCTATCGCCATGCAAGATTTTAAATTTACAAAAATTATCAATAGAAATATTTTGTCCAGAAGTATTTACAGATGGCTGACTAAAAACTTGTCAATTTTGGGCAATTTTTGTTTACTTTCTTCTCTTTCTTGTCGTTGTTTGCGTTTAAATGCACCACTGGGTTTCTTTTTTTGTCCATAATATTAGTTTTCTAATTTATTTATGTAAGATTGTACTCAAGTAGGTACTCACTGTTCACTGATAACGTTACAAGTAAAAGGACAGCGAAACGTAATGATACGATACAAGACGTCCTTACGAAATCCCCGGCAAACATTTTATCGCCGCCAGTGTTACTATATTAGACGGTTTAAAAAAATACAAAATAACATCACGTAATTAATGGACGGCCCCCTACCCCATGTGACTTGTATTTTTCACGGTATTTTGAGTTATATAGTGTGTAGCCGAAATCTATAGATTTCTTTACGTAACTATGTATACGTACTATAATCAAATAAAATTGAACTTTTTTATGGACCAGTACAAAAAAAATATTGACATACGCTTACTTACACCTGATACATTAACTTTTTAACCATTCTCGAAAAAAAACTTGACTCAAAGTTCACAATAGCGAATCACAAAAACGCATATCGATAAATAATAATATGCAGATATTGATATCCGACTAATTGATGAAAACATTAATAATACTGTCAACCCACACAAATAATTTAGGGGAATTCCCTTTTTATAACTTTGAAATTTATCACAACTGGGTTGCCATGATTGAACTCGAGTTGTCACCTGTCATATTTATTTTGAAAATAGGAGAAATTTTCAAAAGTTGAGTTCGATTGAGATTTTCTGGTAAAGATTCGAGGGCCCCCTGAGCTTGAGGGCCCCGGGGCACTGCCCCGCCTAGCCCCTTGGTAGCTACGCCACTGCGTCCGGGATATCTTCGGTATAGACATAGCTTATAAACTTGGCTTTTTACCCTTGCTTTCAGCAGGTGTTTGGCTCGAGTATAACTGTCCACTTTCGATCTCCTGCAACATCACAACTTTCGACGAAACGATGCTACCATTCGTCAGATTTGTAAAACAGATAATAAAATGTTGTTATAAAGATCGAGGAACGAGTTTGACGAGAGATTCGCAGAGATCAAATCACAAATTCCCAGCACGAGTGTTTCAAAATCCAATCGATGTTGAAATTGAAAGCGCAGTGCTGAATTTACACTGTTCTCAAGGGCTATGTAGCGGTTTTGAAATACTTAAGTATAATGAAGTTTTCGGGGTTTTGTATTTGTGCAGTCATTGTTCAGAGTAGGTTTCATCGATCAAGACCTTTCAAGCTTGATACTAACATTTCAATATGCCTGTTTTTAATGGGTATGAAATTCCACTTTGAAGAGGTTTAGTTATAAGAAGCGATGTTGTTGAAGAAAATTTAAACAGTCGTAAGCCTTAACATTTCGCTCGAAAGAAATATTTACCTGACAAGGTTTGGAGAAGTTGACTCTTAAATATTTAAAAAGGGCAGATCTTAAAGTCTAGTTTACACAAAAACTATTGAATATATTTTATTTATCATTAAAAAGTAATAACACAAACAAAACTTAGTATTCAATTTAAGAGGTTTAAAATAATTGTAGTAATAAAAAAAATATATTTCCCTAACTTTTCGGTTGATCTAAATTTTTTCCTGGATTTACACGGATTATTCCTGACCATCTTTTAATTCCTTGACTTTCCAAAAACTAGACACCCTGTTCATGTTAAAATGACATATTTAAGTATAATGGAGTTCTAAAGTACTATATAGTTTAGTTAGTGTATAATATAGGTAGGTATTCTTTAGCTTTACATATGTCCCAGGCTGATAAACAGGGGATTAAATGATAACCTGGAAAGTTATTGAAATACAGAATTGTAAGTATGGCGCAGCCGGACAAACGTAATGCCAGCAGCACCACACTCGTTTTTCTCCGAAACTTTCAATTTCTAACTCATAAGGGATTATATGGCAAACCAATGCTGTTGCTAGACCGATGGACACAAATTAAAAAAAATGTTTTCATTTTGCTTTACTGAAAATTGTGTTATATGAAAATTAATTAGCGAGATATTATTCGTTGTAATGTAGCTCCAGGCTGTGTAAATAATTAAAAATAAAATTTACGAGTTCAAGTTCATATATTCATGGTATAATTATTATGTAGTAATACTATATTATTTGATAGGTAAAGTTATTATTTACTTGTATAATAAATATTTACTATACTGTAAATACAGGAACCTTAATTGTCGAATTTCTTTCAAAAGTCACTAGTAATTCGAACAAAATTTATTCCAAAAATATAAATAATAATTCGAAATGAACATAAAAACCATGTAGAAAAACAATTTTTAAAATTAAAATGCAAAAGCATGTGGGAATACAGGATACAAAAAGGACCTGTCAAAAGAAAGTAATAACAAAATGAGGAAATTTTGATTTATTATTTCCACATAGTTGTGTCCAAAGTGCGTTTCAACAGGCTCAGTAGGTAGTTTTTCTGTAAAAATAAAATTTACATAATTCAATACAATGTTTCAAAGAAATTAAGGTTCCGATCGGGAATGGAGTGCTACATTTCAAAAATATCAATAACAATACAATTAGGATATTTAATTATATTTATTTACCGTATTACAAAAACAGATACCATATTATGTACAACTGGAAATGGGTTACAATACATTGTTTCCTTCTAGTACTTTTGTGATTGAAATAGCCTCTCCAGTACCCGATGAGACCTCTCTGCAAGTGGCAGAGAGGTCTACGCGGAACGGGGGCCATCCGGCCGGGCCGGTCTTATTCCTACCTATGTATATTAAACTTATATCAATATGTCTATTATAGTATAATGTAATCATTAATTAAACTAAAACAAATGTCGGTCCAAATTAAATGAGTTCCAATAAAAAATTCGGCACAGCAGTAATTAGGAGTTACCTCCTAATACTCACACCTTATAATATCGCAATAGAATGCAGGACACAAAGTATAAACAGGTATTGTTGACTCCTCAGATGAGGTTAGCCACATCGCTGGGCATTTCTGTGATAGTAGTATGGTAGAACTCTTCTATATCTTTCAATGCTCTCTTGTCAGCTTCAGTCACAAAGTTAATGGCGATTCCTTTACGGCCGAAACGACCACCCCTTCCAATTCTGAAATTAAGTTTCTTGTTATAACTATGTACTTTAAATAACTACATCAATAATGAATGCACATAAAAAAAAAAAACATCTAGACCATACAATATTTTCTTTACTTAAAAATATCTACCTATGAATATAGTTTTCACGATTAGTGGGCAGATCATAATTGATCACGCAGGACACTTGCTGTACGTCAATGCCTCTTGCCAAAAGATCAGTGGTGATCAGAACACGAGAAGAGCCAGTACGGAACTGCCTCATGATGACCTCGCGCTCTCTCTGGTCCATGTCGCCATGCATGGCAGAGACTGTAAAATCACGCTCATGCATGGATTCAGTAAGCCAGTCCACCTAGAAAAGACCAAAGTCCATTTGTTAGAATTTATTTGGAATTAAAAACATACTTCAAATAATGCCATTATATACAGGTATATATTAGCTGTTGTAGTTAGCTGCTTTAATTGACAGGAGCCAAAAAGATAATTCAGCTATTATTGTGAATGTAAAATTCATTTATTACTAATATTAAATTGTAATTCAAAATTCATTAGCATTACTAAAGTTGGAGTATCATCATATAGGTAGTAGTTAATTAATTTCATTCAAGTCATTACTTATGTTTAGTTAAATGCAATACAGTATCATTTTCTAATAAAATTGGGGAAAGTGAAGTGTCAGAGTAAAGCATTTTCCAGTAAAAGTTTTTATCAGTTAACTTCTGTTTGTGTAGAAACATTTGGTTAGATAATTATATTAACAATTTTATACTTAGAAAATAAAAATTACCTTGCGACGAGTATTGCAGAAGATTACTGCTTGGGCGATGGAGAGAGTGTCATACAAGTCACAGAGTGTGTCCAGTTTCCACTCCTCTACTTCAATAGCAATAAAGAATTGCTTAATACCTTCCAGTGTGAGCTATAATAAAAAAGAAATAGTGTAAGTTCTTAAGTTCAATTAATTAATATACATAAATACAAGTAATTAATTTAATTCTATGAACACAATAGAGGTATAGACAACTTTTTTAATATTTATATCATAGATATGCATGAAATGTAACTAAAAAAAATATTTTAATAGAGTATCATTTGTTTAATAAGGTTAAAATCTAAAAATAAATTTAGTTTTCTAAAATTTCCTGTAAAAACGCCAACTTCTGTCATGGCGTCGCTATGATGTCTCGGCCCTTTTAAACTTATATTGTTCTATGTATGCATAAGGTTCATTATTTAATTTCTGATATGAGTAAGAGGGGCGTGTCGTCACGGGCTGTTTGTGGTCACGTGACCACGAGTATAAAAATATTTGTTTTTTTTTTCATAATTAATTTAAGCAATATTGTAAATATAATAAGCATAAAAGTTTATACTACCAGAAAAATTGATATGTACTTATTTTCGTTTACTGTCTACACCTGTATTTAAAAGTTATTTGTGTTACTTGTGTTACGCAACTTAAACCTACAGTAAATAAATTATTTAAAAATAAGTCGAGAAGTCATGACAAGGTATGCATTAATAAAAGGCATATATGAAGGTCAATCATAAAAATTATAGGAACTAGAAACAATCTTCTTAACCTAACATAGTACAATACTTTAAAATTCAATTTATTTCTAACAATTTCTCTTCAATTGACCTACCGGCAAGTCATTTAAGTAATTATTGTTGACTAATGTGCTTTGGCAAACACACTTTGCATTGTTTTGTTAATTAACATTACAGATTATAAAAAGAGTAGTTCATCAAATAAGGTTTTGATATATTTTAATGAAAAAGTAAATATGTATTTCATATATATAATTTAGATGGTGATACTGTGTTTCACATTCTAGTGAATTCTTAACTAGAAAATTAACTATTTTATATTATAGTTTCATTGCACATTAAAATGGACCACATAGCATAATTTTTAATCCTTAAATACTGAAATTTGCTGTTCATAAACTAAAATAAATTAAACAAAAATAGGTGAAAATATTATGACTTATCATGAATATCAGAACATATTTCATATATAATTTGCTTGCCTGATGCAATGGTTTCATAGTACCTTTATAACAATATCTAGTTCAGTTTCGGGAATAACTTTTTTCAAATAACTTTCATAATCACAAGTATTTATAGGATAAATTGTTTGCACAGTGATAACTTTGTCAATTTAGCAATAGATTAGTTCATCAAATGAGGAAACATGTTAAAATTAAGCTTTTTTTTTAAATATAATATGTAATTGAATTTTTATCAATGGACAGTATACAATTTCATCATAGTCATCCATCAGAACCGATTTGCCTAATTACGGCCAATCTTTAATCTAATTTTCTAGCTTTATTTTAGATAAATACTAAAATAATCAGCTAAATCATGAAATACTGGCAAATCATAACTGCCAGGACAACCACAATCAAGCTAACATATCCATATAATATTATAAATGTGAAAGTTTGTAAACAATACATAAATCATAAGAGTAAACTGTTTTGACAGATGTCATTTGTCTTACCAACTTCTCAGATATGAAATAGCAGACTTAAATAAAACTAGCATAATTACCTCCTCTTTTTGCACCAGAATGCGCACGGGATCTCTCATGAAGCATCGTGATACTTCCAATACATCATCAGGCATGGTAGCCGATAGTAAAATAACCTGGACATCAGCAGACAACATCTTGAAGACATCATGAATTTGGTCTTTGAATCTGAAAGTACAGTAATAAATTATAATATACACTGAATGTATAAAAAAGCTCAACCCAGTTTAAAGACGAATAATACCAGTTACTTACCCTCTAGACAACATTTCATCAGCCTCATCAAGAACAAAAAGCTTGATAGTATTAGAACGGAGAGCACGGCGATTTATCATGTCAAATACACGACCAGGAGTGCCCACAACAACATGCACCCCACTCTCCAGTTGACGAATATCTTCACGGACATTTGTACCTCCGATACAAGCATGGCATTTAGCATTCAAGTGATCACCTAAAGCTATCACCACCTGAAATTACAAAGTATATCAGACACAAATTTCTAGTTAACTCTCAAAACAGTGCTATTAATAAACCAGGTTTAGTATCAGAGTAAAATTACACTAAAATTGCAATTTTGGTATTAGTCCAAATTCAGATTATACAGAGAAAAGCAAACCTACTACGTTCTAGGAGTAAATATTACTCCAGTAGAACCTCATTCTTTGTTAACCTTTGCAAATTCTATAATATGAATTTTGCCTAATATTAATTGCAGTCTCAGTGTAAATTGAGTCCAACTCTAAACTTTGTTTATTAATAACACTGATTAATTTGCATTTGTAAATTAGATGAAGCACCGACATAAAAATAATTTTATATGAATAAAATTGTGTTTGAAATCATACCTTTTGAATTTGTTGGGCTAACTCTCTGGTTGGTGCTAAGATTAATGCTTGGCATTCACGAACACTAGTGTCAATTTGTTGTAAAATGGAGATCGAGAAAGTAGCAGTTTTGCCAGTTCCTGACTGAGCTTGGGCTATCACGTCGCGGCCTTGGATGCACGGCATAATAGCGCGCTGTTGAATAGCCGATGGTTTCTCGAACCCATAGGCATATATTCCTCTTAACAGTTCTTCTTTCAAATTCATGTCATCAAAGCTTTCCACGACATCATGCCAATTTGTATCCAAGGCACCGTCGATGCCTGTAGGCCCATCGTAATTTCCTTGATCCATTGGCCCATTTTTGGAATCCTCCGGCCAATCCTCTGATCTGTGAATATACATAGTTCAATGTAGTTCAAATTACTATGTGAAAATGATCTAAGTAAATTAACACGAGCTAGAAATGAATCATAGAAATTGCATTTGCTGCTTTTATCAAAAACTATCTTTGATACATTGAAATTAAGACATAAAAATGTTTTAACAAAAGTATATATTATAACGTAAGAATATTCTATAAATTAACCAAGCTCATCAATTCTTAAAAATAACACGTGCGTTTCGCCGAACATTATAATTCTGCCAGCGCCATGTTGGCACTCGGCGGCCGAGGCTAAGGAAAAAGTCCCTGGATATAAAACAAGATATTACCAATTTCTGAGTCACTAATAATCTCTTTTAAGATAAAGGAAACATTTTGTGAATTATTTTCTTAGAAAAAACCCTTATATAAACGCAAACTAGGCTTACCTTCTTTCAGGTGATGAAAACGACATGTTCCAATATCGGTAGCTGAACGGAAAAGAACTGACAAGGTCAAGTTGAGTTTGGCAAACGCTTTTTCAATGCAACATAAAAATGCAATGAATACGTATTGTTATGTATTCTAAATTAATAATTATTTTTTTAGACAAATTTAAAGTAAGCAGAAAATTTGTGACTGTTAAAATATACAATGCGATTTATAAATAGAGTTATTTAGAAAGTCAAAAGTCGGAAATAGCTCACGTCGTGGTATTTTATCTGAATGTTGGTGATACTCGAGTCGAGCATCTACTAACTCGACCAAAGACTAAATGTATAATAATTTATTGATGGTAAGAAAAGCTCAGTGTTGCCAGATAACTTTGTATATTTCCCCCCCATATCTCACTCGAAATACCTCCAAAAGTTATTCCAAAAATTGTCCCAAAAAAATTATCATACTAATTAATATTGGTTGACCACACTTATTGAAATTTAATCTCGTTGATATCTTTGTCTTTAAAATTCTAAAATTAAATTGTTACCTTAAAATCTTTAAACTCGCTTCAAAAAATGTCTAAGTACATAAATCTATAATTCTAAAAAACAGTCTTATAAAATCAGTAAACATTAGTTGTAGATCAACAAACCCTCGCTATATTCAAATGAAGTTAAATTTAAAATTAACGACTCTTGTTGTTTTTAAGAATTATATTTCAATGTTTTGAGATTATTTTTTTAATTGATAATATTAATAACATAAATAGGAACAAAGAAGTTACGACTCGAGAACCATCTTAGCATTGACTACTTTGTGTGTGAAGTGTGAGAAGCGCCCTCACAGAAATGGCCAAAAATCCACTGTTAATCAGTGTAAATTAACCATTTTAAAAGGTTTAGGTGGTCAATGTGTGATTGAAAGAATCACTTTGTAAACCTACAAGATATAGAAGGGTTTTGAGAAAAGCTTAAAGGTTTTTTCATTTAGTTTATTTATTGATGTTTCAGCAATAATCCTTAATTGTCAGTATCAAAAAAAGTTTTGGCAAAATTGAAATAAAGGAACTCCAACAATAATTATAAAAAGGGACAATATATAAAAGTGCAATTCATTTTGCAAAAAAATATTCCAATTAAATGACATTAACTAATTTTGTTTCACGGTAAATTATTATAATGAAAAAAAAATAAAAGACTTCAAATAAAATACACTAAAAAGCCTAAAATGAATGAAAACTAACTTGATACTTCAAAAATTAATGTAGGTACGTTAGGTACCTACCCACTAATCGCCTAGATATATACGATGTATTGTTAAGTTAATTTTCAATTATTTTTAGCTTTTTTAATTTCCACGTCAAGTACTCCAGATCTTCGATTGTTTACGTCAACAGAAAATACTCATCATTATCATATTAATATCTCTCGTAGATAAGACGGGCTGCTATAGTTCCACATCAGGATTTCAGACTTCGGACAGAGCAAATTTTACAGTTAACAATATTTTTTTAATATTTAAACCAATTCATTTTTTACGCAACTATCAATTCGGACCGAATGAAAAGAGCACGGAATTTTTTATTACTTATTCTGTGACGAATCCGGAGAATACTCTTTCTTTAAATGATATTTTGTAGCGAATGGCAACACCATCTATACTGACTTACGGGGATTCGCCGTGTTTTATTTAGTGCTTGGATTGTTCATGACTAATAATCAGCAAGAATGACTTCTATCACATATATATTAAGTTTAATATTATTTATAACATTCCTTTAACAAAGTACGTGATATTTTAACAATGAGGAAGAATTTAAAAAGAAAGCTCTAAAAAAGCACCTCCACTAGATGGTGAATCTAGCAAAAGTTAATTTTTTGCAGGAAACGAATGGACCAAAGATAGTAATTTCCGGTCCTTTTAACTTACATATTAAAAAACTGAAATATACAACTTCCGAAACTTCAATATCAATACTAATACTAAAAAGTACAAATAGAATATGAGTTGTTTATTGAGTTTTGAAAACTAATTTACTTTTATACATGAAAGAAAACCGGAAGGGTTGTCATGGAGTAATCAAGAAGTATCGTAGCGACATTTAGTTTGATTTCAGGAACTATTTTTTTTTTAAATACTTCTTCATTCAAAAAAAGTTTTATTCGTGGAGCATCAGTTGTTTAGTTCATATTTTTTATATCTCTTTTTTTATAAAGAAAAACCCGCTTTTTAAGATACAAGTCCTGTGTTGCCAGGGACAAAGTACACCCAGTCTAAGAACAATGATGATGTATTTAAAAAAAATAAGGAAATTACAAAAATTTATGTCACTAGATGGCAGCACAAATTGTTGGATCTAAACGTCAATTCATGGCGTTAAACCAAAGAGAATAGAATTGTCAGTGTTGTATGGATCTGATAACTTGGATTAATATCGAGTTCAAATTTAATTAGTTCGAGTTATGTAAACGCAACTCGATTAATACAAAGTAATCTTTGAATAAATTTCTTTTTTATTTGTATAGAGGAAAATGGAAACTAACATAATGGAAGTGAGGACAGAGGTTTCTTTTAAATTTATGGAAATCAATTGAATTAATGCTATGATATAATTAAAAGTGGCATTTAGCTACGGCATACAATAATATTACCGCCAAATAGTTTTTATAAATAAAATACTTATTAGATATTATAAGAAACACGAAACGATGTCATATTTATTAATTATCGATACTCAATTTACTTTTATTACGTCAGAAACAAAATTGGAATGAATATTAGAAACAAAATCCAAACATCGCGAGTGACATCTAGTATGATTTCAAGAGCTAATTTTTGTTTTTTAAATACTTCCTCGTTATTTGAAATCATACGAAAAATTGTCCTTTGTGGGGATCGAACCCACAACACTCGATCCGTGGGCAGTTGTATGGGGAGAACTAAACCATACTTAATCTAACCTGCATAATTCAAAGTAATGATGACGGTTCTTGGCCAAAAATTAATGAATATAATGTATAATGTAATTATATAAAATACCTATGAAATACCAAATTAAGAGTGACGGCGAAATTGTCTTCTGCCCCGGGCAGCAGACCCCAACGCTACGCCACTGCACACAAAAATGCAAAATCATTTTACAAATCGGACTATAAATACCGTAGGTATGCCGCAACATACATAAAAATAAATATAAAATACAGTCGAATTGAGAACCTCCTCCTTTTTTGAAGCTTGTTAAGAAAATATGGTAACGTACGTAGTGACCACAGAAATATATCTAGTTAGAAGGAAAAAGTGTACGTACTTTGCGTGCCGAAACGACGTCTAGACAGCTTCATTGCTCGCCGCGAGGCTCAGTCCACTTGCGATCGCAATCGGTGTTGGACGAAATTTAAAATGATGCGTTGTTCGATAATTACCTGCTCAAACACCACCAATATGGTTGGATCTTATAGTCGAGGTATTTCCTTCCCTTGGTAAGTAACTATTTGCCTTGATATATCTATTTTGAATTAAAAAACATTAGTTTTGTTGCTCCGTATTATTTTTATCAAAACGGTCATGTGTCCAGTAATAGCTTTCCATTGCGGCTTTAATTTGACAGTCCAAATTTGCTGTGCTTGTAAAACCATCGATGTATAATTCAAGGTCAATTTGTTGCAGGACAAATTATCAATTTTTCTGTCAAAAATGGAGAATAGTGCTGTACAATGCGATTTTTTTACCCGATTAAAAAAATATCGTTTTTGAAAGCAGAAGAAAGGATAATTAACTTTATATTGAATTATACTGTCATTTTTGTTTTAGTTTTCCGTATGATCCTAATATTAAAAATAAATGGATTGAAGCAACAGGACTCTAAGGCAAATAGTAGGTATACTTACTGGACATGGAAACTTTAACAAACACCTATATAACATGGGTTATTTTGACAGTCCTCTGAGCAGGGCGTGCATCACATAAGCGCTTATGCACTCATGTGATACTGGAATGCAGGAGCCTATTAAGACAAAAGGATTACATATCTATGAAGCCCAAGGATACTAGTGGAAGCATGCGGCAGAGTTCGAGATCTTACGGGTTTCCTGGAGGAGCTGGGGTGGCAGGACTAAAGCAACCCCGTGTCATGCAAAATAGGCACTGAGTATCGAGTTGCAGAAAAGCCCGCCGTGAAACATAACATAACAACACAGGACGTAAAAATGTGTAGCGTGTCGGGAGGGGGTAGCAGCTACTACAAAATGTTTGCCCACAGAAAAATGCCGATTTCTATTCTATCGCATAAAATCTTTTTTGCGCCGATTCACTAAATTACATTCGTGAGTTCGTGACATATACATAATATTTAAGCAAAATGGTAGTCTGTCTATAAAGTCATGAAAAAATTGAGGGCGCTGCGATCGTGCACGTAGCAACCCTGTGTAGTGAGACAAATGATTTTAATAGTAGGATATTTTTTTTACTTTTATTACCCCAGAAAAGGTAAAGAAAGGCGTATAATTCGTAGATAATGAGTTTATTCTACATTGAAGATTACAATATAGTAATCGTAATTTTTGATAAATCTTTTTTTTTTATAATTGCCATGTTGTTTTCTCGTTTTACTGCAATGTGTGCTTGTGTTCGATTAAAGCCTGTTACTTTGACACTCCTTGTAAGAAAACCCAATATATTTCAGAATTTAACGCAGAACTTCTAGGCTACAATTAAAATCCAGATCGGTTTTGGCAATCCACTGATGTTTTCTTCATGTAGGTACCTCTTTTTTTCACAGAGTAAAAAGAACTGAATCTTTTGTCGAAGTGCACAAATGTTGCAGATAACCATTTATTTCTTAGGACGACTATCTATGTTTCCCAGGGGTTTCAAATATGCCACCATTTTTATAACCTGCATCTACAATACGTATCACTATATTCTCTGATTTTCCTGAAAGTAAGTTTTAAAAAAGTAATACCTATAGGTATTTGGCAAAAAGAATGGAATCGCCACTATGATCAAATTAATGCTATAATTTTAATAATATAAAGCACAAATTTTTTATTGGCGTACGTAGGTAA